TTTTTTTTTGTTTGCGATTTAGAAGTCTCGAGCTTAGATGTAAGTTTCAGCGGGCATTGCGCCCGAAGAAAGAAGAGGCTATAAGCCGAAGAGGCCCGGCAAACTGCCACTCAAGAGGGCAACTACTAATGGCTCCCCATCCTCTGGGTCATCCAGAGCATGGGAAGTCATTATTGTTACTACTTTGTCACTATGCTCGCTTTTAGTACTTTGTAGTAGTAGTAGTAGTAGTAGTAGTAGTAGTAGTAGTAGTAGTAGTAGTAGTAGTAGTAGTAGTAGTAGTAGTAGTAGTCTTTGCTCTTGTGGCCGATATATATGTCGGTCCATTATCCCATTGGGCAAATCGCGATTTTTCTTATTAGTGTCGCGACAGTATAATTACGGGTTGAATTAGAGTTGCGATAAAATGATAATCGCGTTTGCTTTAGAGTTGCGAATTACGATGTCGCGATTGTATTTTGCAATTTTTATTATGAATTTTTGGAATTTATCCTGTCTTTTATTATCCAAAATTAGATTATAAAAGTCTTAGTTTTCAATTAATTTTATAGTATTGCAAGTAGCAGTACCAGAATATTTAAAGTAGCTTTTTTATACAGTAAATAGTAATTTTCATTGAATTTACTGTAAAAATTAGAGTTGCGATATTATTCCATCGCGAGTTCTACTAATTTTTCCCTTTAGCGTTGCGATAACGAATGATCGCGTTTTGTTAAGTAGAGTTGCGTTTACGAAATGCCCAAATGCCCTCCGACTGCATTTGTCGGACATTGTCCTTGGATCACACGTACAGCTGTAAGAGCTGTACAAGTGTGATAGTCCATCGGCAACCTCGTAAATGGTTGCACTGCGATATGTCGACCCTCCACTCGCGACTTTTCCTATTAGTGTCGCGAGAAATTGTTTACGGGTTGAATTAGAGTTGCGATATTATTCCATCGCGAGTTCTACTAATTTTTCCCTTTAGCGTTGCGATAACGAATGATCGCGTTTTGTTAAGTAGAGTTGCGTTTACGAAATGCCCAAATGCCCTCCGACTGCATTTGTCGGACATTGTCCTTGGATCACACGTACAGCTGTAAGAGCTGTACAAGTGTGATAGTCCATCGGCAACCTCGTAAATGGTTGCACTGCGATATGTCGACCCTCCACTCGCGACTTTTCCTATTAGTGTCGCGAGAAATTGTTTACGGGTTGAATTAGAGTTGCGATATTATTCCATCGCGAGTTCTACTAATTTTTCCCTTCAGCGTTGCGATAATAAACGATCGCGTTTTGTTATGTAGAGTTGCGTTTACAAAATGCCCAAATGCCCTCCGACTGCATTTGTCGGACATTGTCCCTGGATCACACGTACAGCTATAAGAGCTGTACAAGTGTGATTGTTCAACCGCCTAAATGGTTACACTGTGATCTCTGGCTATCAGTGTTGCGTATTTTTTTTAAATATAAGTGCATAGATTTATATTTGTTAGCGCTGCGTATCAAATTTCGGGTATTTTCAAACTTTTCTTCTTTTTTTTTAATGGTAGGTTAATTGACATTGCAGATATAACGAAGCACTCTTCGCGTTTGATTTTGAAAATTTTCTGTTTCATAAACACTAATAGTAAGTTAGCGTTGCGAAACAAGAACATATCATTTAAGCTATTAATTTATGATATTTAAACTGTTTCCCAACAACATTTAATCTATCACTTTATAACGTTTGTCATTAATTTATAACATTTAAACTATTACTTTATAATATTTAAACT